TACATGCACATACACATATACATACATTTGCCTGCACACATATGCACACCACATGCCCTCCTACAGTTTCTCCTCATTGGGATCCCACCCCACCCTGCAACAGCTCATACCCAGGCTCAGCTCATGACTGCTGACCCGCCCTAGCTGCAGCTCTTGACTCCTGGAGAAGCCCTACACCTCAGCCGCCACCTGTTCAGAGAGCTTGGACCCTTGGCGCTTTTGTTGCTATAGTCAGAGTTGCCATTGAGGCTACTTCCATCCCCCCCCCAGTGTTCTCAGCCAACACCTGGGGGTTCTGCTGTCACCATTCTCCTTGGGCACATGGAGCAGGGCTGTTGTTCTGTTGTCCCATGTGTCCATCAGAAGGGCAGAGTCCCTGACCAGTGTGTCCCAGGGTGGGATGCAGGAGCGGGTAGCACAAGAAGGGGGACTTTGGGACAATGGTGTCCTCTCTGCATGCTCATCTGCTGTCACAGGCCTGGCACTGGACAGCAGATCAGACCAGGTTGAATAGAGGGCCTTCACTCTGAGCTATATACAGGGCATCACTAAGTCACTGAGCTGCCCAGGCTGCGCTTGAACTCATTTCCTCTGCCTCAGCCTCCCAGAGTGCTGGGATTGCAGGCATGCACCACCACCACCATGGTTTATAAAGCATTCTTTCCCCCAGGTCCTAACATTGCTCAGCACCGCCTGTCCGGTCGGGCCTGTCCCTCACAGGGCAAGGACCAGCTACTGTGTTGGAGCACAACAAAATTGGATGTGGCCCTCAGGCTTGTCCCAGAAAATGAATCGTGTTCCAGCTCTAGCCCTTTCCACTTCCTTATCCCTCAGCCAGCCAGCGTCTGTCCCTGGGTTGGCCCTTCCAGGAGCTGCATAATGGACGGGATTTTGAGAAGCCACACAGTTCATCCCCTTGCCGCCAGGCAGGGTGCTCCCAAGCCAGCCTAGGATGCTGGGAGGGAAAGGGAGGCTGGCTCCAGGCCTGGGTCGCTAGAGAGCAGCCCCTGCCCAGCTCTACCCTCCGGGCGGAGCATCCGGTCAGTGAGAGCACCCAGGCCACTCGGGTGGTTCTAGTGCTGGGCTCAGGAAGGGTTTGTGCTCTGCACAGACCACAGGACCTCTGCCCAGGCAGGGAGAAGCCTTGGGTGCTGCCACAAACCGGGGCTGGGTACTCCATGAAGCAGAGGGCCTGAGGTTGGACCCAGTGTAATAGCCAGGTCCTGGGTGGAGGGCCTGGAGCCCAGACCAGAGGGATCTGAGGTTTCTGGGCCAGGGAGGATCAGCTTTCCTACCTGAAAGCAGGACCTGGGGCCCTGTGAGGGGGAACCTGAGGTTTCTGGGCCCAGGAAGGTGCAAAGTGCTCCAGAAAGCACAGGCCTGGTAGCACAGGCTGCAGTGAACCCTTGGGGCTGGGCTTAGGAGGGGACAGGAGGTACAGAGGGCACCTGTCCTGTGGCCCAGGCCACTGTTAGCCTGAGGACACCAAGCCCAGGAAAAGGGAACTCCCCCGAACAGGCCCATGGGAACCTATGGGATTTCAGTGCAGGATGGCGCCGGGCAGTGTGTGGAGAAAAGCCTCATGTGTGGAGTGGGTGGAGAGAGGCCTGATGGTGTGGGGCCCAGGACAGGCTGGGTGCCCCATGGGGCACAGGCCAGTGTGAGCCTAGGGGTGGTGGACTAAGGAAGGGACAAGGGCCTCTCTAGGGCCTGACTGCTGAGTTCAGGCTGTGTGTGTGTGTGTGTGTGTGTGTGTGTGTGTGGGCGCTGGGGTAGGGATGGATGCTCTGGGGCCCAGAGACCTGTTCCTCCAAGGCCTGCTTCCTGCTGTTAAATGGCAGGGCATGAGAAGGTAGAGAGAGAGAGAGAGAGAGAGAGAGAGAGAGAGAGAGAGAGAGAGAGAGGAGCTGGAGCCAGCTGGAGCGTCAGCCCTTCCAGACTCGGCCTTGACTCCGTATGGTGAGTTACAGTGAAGGAAGGTCCAGCAGCAGGCTGAGGAAGTCCTGCCCTGGGTGTCTTGCCTTCAGGACAAGGTGTCTGGGAGCCTTGGAAGGAACTGGGCAGGAGCAGAAGCAGCAGGAGTGTGGATGAGATCTTCGGGGAAGCCAGGGACAGAGGGAGCAATAGACACCCATGTTTCCCCTGCAAGGAGCCAGAGCCGGGCTGGGCAGGCAGGAAGGGAAGGTCGTCTCCAAAAGAGGGCAGGGATCATCAGGAGTGTAGGCCACTCCATCCCTGTGACCAAGATGGGAAAATGCCTGGCACCTGGAAAAGGATGGCAGTCCTTGGGGTCTCAGGCTCGTGGAGCAGTGAGCTAGATAAGGAACTGCCCAGAAGGGGGTAGGAGGGCAGTGGCCAGAGGGCTCCCATCCATGAGGTTCTGTCTTAGCTGCAAACCCCTGATGGCTTCTGAGCAGCCCCAGCCGGGTCTCACAGCCTAGGAACCAGGAGACGCAGGAGGGTGCAGGCTTCGGTGGGCTCTGTGGGCTCCTCTCAGAGTAGGAGGGAACCGGGAGGGCAGGGTAGGCTCCTGAGGAAGAGCTCTCTACTGGGCTCCCCCTGGCCGGCTGAGCTCAGATAGCACAACTGCTCCAGGGGTTCAGGCCTGGCTGGGCCCAGCACAGGACATGGAACAGGCCTGGCAGCCCTGTCTGCATGCCCTGGATGACCCCTTTTCCACAGACCCAGGGACCCGGGCATGAGGGCAGGGGAGAGGGTCAGGGAGGGAGAGTGAATTTTACCCACCTAATTGCCTCTCAGGAGACCGAGGTGGAGAGAGGTTGACTCTGGCTGACCCACACTGTCCCTTGGGGAGACTATATAATGAGGGACAGCAAGGAAGCTGCCTGTGTGTAGGCACAAATGTGTGTGTGTGCATGCATGCACGTGTGTGCATTGTGCTTGTGTGTGTGGATGTGAGCATGTGTGCACTGAGAACATTGTGAGTGTGCACATATGTGTCTGCATGTTTGTGAGCCTGTGCTAGTGTGTATGTACATATGCATGTGTGCCTGGGGGGGGGCGTTGTGGATGGTGAATGTGTATGAGTGTGCAGGCATTGTGTGTGCGTGCATGTGAGCCTGTGCAGGTGTATTTGGTGGGACTGGGCTGGTGAGAGATGCTCTCCCTCTGCAAGGAGCCCTTGTCCTGGACGAAGGTCCATCTGTCAAATGCAGGCCATTGGGGCTTAAGCCCACTTTCCTCCAGCTGCTTGTTGAGGTTGCTTTCTGGCCCTGACAGACACCTGGACCAGGATTTCATACAGCAGCGCTGTCAGTGCTAATTGGGCTCTAGGGGTGGTGTGCACACTTGGTACCGTGAAGGGAGCATGGAGTGGCCACAGTTTGTTTGCAAACCTCCCCAGCGAGCCCCACCCCAACTCCATACTCACACTTGTGTGAGGACTTTCTCAGCCTGAGAGAGGCGCAGGTCACCTCTCCCTGGCCCCATTAGAAGGGTCCAGTGGCGACCACTCCCACGTCTGCTACACATCTGGAAGCTCTGACAGGAGCGGGGCTGGAGCCCTAACCAGACCAGTGAGGTCAGTCTTGGGGCTGTGATTCTCAGCCAATGAAAATGGTCCTTATGGGCTGGAATCTCTGCTCCCCACCAACTGGGCGACAGGGAGAAGGTTTGGTTCCTTCCCCCATCATTCCGGGAGCAACCCTGCTTGGCTAAAAAGGGATTGTCCCTGAGACCATAAGTACCTGGCCAGCATCTGCAGTGAGGCATGATGGAGGGGGAATTCAGGGAGCAGCTAAGGCTTTCAAAATGCGCGGCTTTTCAAGTGCTGAACCGCAGTGAACCGGGAAGCACAGTTGCTGTAGTGAAGGGTGGGGAGGAGATGTAAGATCCCTGCCTTAGCTGTGGCCATGAAACCCCTTATCTCCACCTCAGAAGAAAGCGCAGAGTTGTCCATTAACGGCAAATTTTTAAAATATAAAGGGCAGAAATACTTAGGGGCTTAAAGCAGGTGAGTTTCTAATCAAGAGGAGAATCCCATGGATAGATAAGTTTTCAGGTTAACCCTCACCTTTATGAAGCCAGATTGTGAGCTGCTCCTGATATCTGCCCAGAGGTAGAACATCACAGAGCACACAATGCAATCAGCAGAGCCAAAAACCCCGCCGAATTTATTTCATAAGTCTTCATTATTTTGCAGTAAATTCATTCAATGAAGTGTCGAACACACTTAGCCAAGTTATTTATTCACAGACCTGAACTGAAATGAAAAAAGAAACAAGACGGTGGAAAACGACATGGACTTCAGAGTCTGAAACAGCTGAGTATAAATCCTGACTTTGTCCCTAAGCAGCTGCTCAAGCTTGGGCAAGTTTATGTATCCCTTCTGTGCCTCAGTTTCTTCGTTTGTGAGGTGGTTATGATGGTGCCTGCCTGCCTATCTGACGGAGGAGTGAGGAAGGTGACAATGGATGCTTTCTGTGAAGAACCCAGTGTCCCTGAGGCGCTGTAGATGTTGAACTCAGAGCAGTTCTAGCTAGAATACTGGAATATCCCTGCCTGTGTTATCTGACCCGTTCCGCAGGGGTTAAAACTGAAGCGCTATCGCTGCCGCTTGATCCAGGTGGCCTGCTCTTTCCACTGCAGTCTTGACTAGAGACAGGACGCCAGCTCAGCAGCTTCTGGTGTTGGGGGAAGCAACAGGGAGAGGAACAAAGGCATCATGACATCTTGTGGGGCATGGCTGGGGACCTCAAGTCACAGAAGAAGCGCCTGCTGAATGCAGCGCCCAGGACATTCTGTGTGTCCCCACCTCTAGACCCAGCTCACGGTACCGCTTGTCCCTCTGTGGCTTCCAGTAGGAGGTCATTTTTCCTCTCTAGTGGACCAGTGGCCTTTGAGTGCGTCATCTTCACCCACCTTTCAGACAATTGATGCCAATAGACTGTCAGAAACTAACCCAATATCCAGCAACACCCTCCACCCCAAATATATATAAAAGCATAGACACATATGTATGTTTCACTTTGTGTCTTTATTGTACAAACCTTAAAGCATCACCTCTGCAGCTATTTAAAAACGTCTCCAATTTTATGAAGAACAGCTGTTCCATCTGTGGCGGGATCGCTGCAGACATGAGAGACAGCATGCAGCCAGTTTGCTCCAGGTGAATGCTTTTAAACAACCAGGACCCAATCCCTGCTCTTGCAGCAGACTTGGCTTTTCATCCATCTGGATATCAGCATCGTCCGTCAGACAGGAAGTGGGTGAGGACCATGCAGAGAGACTCTGCCCATCCCTGAGCTCCCTACCCAGGCCGGACCCGGTCGAGGCCTGCTCTGGAACATTGTAGACACAGGGCATTTTTTAAATCTCAAAAATGATACATAGAATTTTTTTAATGACAAAGGACACGTGCAAATCAATTTTTTGAAAAATCATAAAGCTAAGACCGCAGGGGCCAGGGATTTAGCTCAGTGGTGCACCTTACAAGCGCAAGGTCCTGAGTTCGATCCCTGGCACCAAAAAAGGAAAGCTAAGACCTCAGTAGAAAAAGGGAGTAAAAGGCATACACTTAGAATCTATATGCAAAGACTTTTTTCAAACCCTAGGCAAAAAATTAAATTTCATTAGTAATCACTGGGGATTTAGTTCAGTGGTTTCGGCGCCTGCTTTGCAAGAGGAAGGACCCGAGTTCGATCCCCGGTATCCAAAATTTCATTAGTAATCAAATATATCTAAAATACTACCACATTAAAATGAAGTACTATTTTTGCCCATACAATTAGCAAACAAGTTCTCATTTTTAATGACAATACCAAACACCAAAAAGCATGTGGTGAGCCAGGTGATGTAATTTAGTACTGATTTTCAGGAGGAAAAAATTGGTTTATGTATATGAAAAATCTTAAGAACATTGATCTTGGACCCAATAATTTCATGCCTCTTGGGAATCTATCCCAAGGAAATAACCAAAAGTTCAGGAAAAAATTTATAAGAGCAAAATAATAGAAATGTAAATAGTCAATAGGGAAATGGTGAAGTAAAGTTTTTAAATTCTCAAAATGGAACCTTCTTCAGGTATTAAAAGATAGGTTTATAGTCTGGCACAAAAGAACACGCCTGTAATCCTAGCTACTCAGGAAGCTGAGACAAGAGGATCACAAGTTCAAACCCAGCATGGGCAACTTAGCAGGACCCTGTCTCAAAATAAAAAATAATACGGACTGGAGATATAGCTCAGTGTGAAGGCCCTGAGTTCAATCTCCAGTCCAAAAAAAAATAGGTTTATGAAGCTTTTGAGATAAATGGGGGAAACTGTTATGTATTTAAACTTTTTTAAAAAGCTGTATATAAATGTTATATAAAGAATAATCCCAACTACAGAATGCTTAGAAAACTGTGCAGAGGAAATATGCCAGTTTGCTAACAGAAGCTGTCACCGATAGGTGGAATTATGTGTGAGCGCTTCCCCTTCTTCTTGCTTTACTTATTTATTTTTTCACTTATTTACTTATTTTGCATTTTCCCACTACAAAGAAATTATGTATGAATTAAGGAAAAACACTTGGAGTTTGGGGCTGAGAACAAACATCATCTAATGATCCTTAATTATCTGCTCTCCCCAAGTATCCTTATCTGTGGAGTCGCCAAATAGATTCAAGATTAGCAAAAAGCCCCTCACAGTCAAACAAGGTGAGTCCAAGAGCAGACAAATGGAAAGCAACAGCAGATTGATAGGGCAAAGGACTCAAGCAACACTCACTAGCAAAAAGCTGCCCCACAGCGCCCCATGGGAAGCCTCCAGCCAGCCACCCTCCGGGCTCCCAAGGCCCAGCAGGCCCGCTCCTGTGGTCCAAGTGCCCTGGGTCTGGTTGGCCTGAGCCTCTCCCAGCCTCAGACTTCAGTCCCCAGGGAGGGGACGGCATGGGCCACACCTTGGCAAGTCCTCCACGTTTGTCTTTGTTCCCTAGAGTCACCACCAGCCTAAGCTTGCTGAGTTTGCAGACAAAATATTGAAAACATTTGAAAGCCGTTCCCACCGCTGGCCATCATCTTGCTGCTCCAAGTCTAGAAATCTAAGTCATCTTGGCTGAAGCCATCCGTCCAGACCCCTGCCGCGTTGCAGGCACAGCCTCTGGCTGCCTTCTGGTCCTGTCCTGGTGGCAGCAGCCTCGTCCTGCCTCTGGCCCTGGAGTCCCTGGGTGTGAAGGGGGCCCTCCCTGCTCAGAGGTGCAGCTGTCGCCCGGATGCATGGTGGCTGCCTTCCCCTCTGCCCGTGGGGCTTCCGGGCAGCCCAGGCCTCCACCTGACGGGCTCTCCCAGCCCTTCAGAGAGACCAGGGAGCAGCTGCCCGGGGCCGTCGGGGGTCCGCCCTGCCCTTTGGTGGAGGGCACCCCCAGCCTGGGCCAGGGGTGCCGCAGGCCTCCCCTCCTGGTCTAGGCCGCTGCTTCCGGAAGCCTCCCCCGTCTGGCCCCGTCCTGTGCTCGCCCCAAGGCCTTCTTCTCTCGCGCTGTCACGTCCTCCTTCAGGCTGTGGCTGTCCCGAGGCTTCGGCACCATCACCCTGTCCTCCCGCGGCCTCTGGGGCATCCCCATCCCCGGAGCCTCTGCGAGAGCCTCCTTCCTGCTCAGTCTCGCCCTTCGCCAGGCCCCCGGCCTCCCCCCAGGCCCTGCAGACCCTGCCCGGGGAGCTTGCTCCTCCATCCCGCACTGAGGCTTCTTCCTCCCTGTCCTGGCCGGCCGCTCCCTTGGCCCCCCGACTTTGGGGTCACTCCTTTGCCCCTGGCTCCCCGGGCCCAGGCCACAGCCCAGCTCCTGCCCTCTGTCGGCTCCCTGGAGAGTGGGCTCCTCCCGAGACCCCTCAGTCCCTGTCCTCTTGGGGGCCCCCTCTGCTGCCTCTCCTCTCTTCCGCTGCAGAATTTGCTGTAGGTTGAAGGCTTCTGTGATCGGGGCACTGGCAACCCCTGTGGTGTCCTTTGGGGGCCTCGGAGTCACCTTCCTCCTCACACAGGCCTGGCAGGGACAGAACCCGCCCCCCTCGGCATCCGCCCCTGACCCGGTCCCCAGGGCTGCGCTGAGGTTGGGCCTGTCCTCTGGGGTACGGGACGGGGGCCCCCAGTTGTGGTTCTGCTCTGGGAAGGCTGAGAGGTTGCGCAGGCCCTGGAGGCAGCACCGGCACTGCTCTGGCTGCAAGGACGCCTGTCCCCGGAGGGCCATCCTTCCAGCCCAGCTCTGGATCTTCCGGAGCTCCTTGTCGGTGCTGTCTTGGAGCCTCTGGCCCACCTCCTGCTGCAGCTCTGCCACCATCTGGTCCAGCAGGCTGTCCTCCTGCAGGCTCCAGCGGGCTCGGAGCTTAGCCATGGCACCAGCCAGGTGAGCCATGAAGTCCTCCTCCATCTTCTTCAGCAGCCTGGACACCCAGAGGGGGTCCGGGTCCAGAGACACAGTGCGAGCCCCCGTGTCCAGGGTGGACTGGCCCTGGGCTTGCTCCCAGCACAGCACAGCTGCCCTGGGCAGTGCTTCCAGACCAGGCTCTGACTGGGGGCCATGACTCTTGCTGGCCTGTGAGTCCCCCTCGCTGAGATGACCAGGGGGCTCTGCCAGGAGACCCAGCACTGCAGAGGCAGAATCCCTCCCCATGTTTTCCTCCTGCCCGCGGACTCTGGCCTTTTCTGGAAGCCCTTCCTCCTAGACACCTTCGGCCGGGGGTCTTTCTCTTTCTGCTGTTTCCTCTGCCTGCCCCAACCACCCCTGAGTCGTGTTTTCAATGAATGGCTCCGGGTTATTGTCCAATTGCTCCAGACAAGGGCCCAGTGTCTGCTCCCTGCTGCAGTTCCCGGCTTCCTCCTGCCCAGAGGAGCCTGAGGAGGCCATGGAACACCTCTGCTGGGGGTTTGCCCTGTGCTCCAGGCACCCCGAGCTTCTGGAATTGGACCTCTGGGAGGAGATCTGCAGGGGCTGCACCATCTGCTCAGGGACCAGGGTGGCATCCACGGCACAGGGCACGCTGCCCTCCCCCGAGCCCCCGGAGCCACTGCTGAGGTCCACGCCGGAGGAGGAGGTGGGCGTGAAGTCCTTGGTGACCAGCAGGCCCTGGTATGCAGTGAGCTCCACGAGGTCCAAGTCCAGCGGGCCTTGTCCGAGGTCACCAGGGCCACAAGCCCTGGGCAAGGCTCTGCAGCTCCTGGTACTGAGGGGAGTCTTCGAAACTCCCTTTGTCTGCCGGAAGCCTGAGAGCATCATCAAAGAAGCGAAGCCGGGCAAGGCAGGTGATGAGTCTTTGACTGACTGGCTGAGCCTCTGGGCCGCAGGGCCCGACACCTCGGGCAGGCTGCTGGGCCGGCCCTGCTTGGAGCCCATCAGCGCCCTCATGATCTGCGTGGAGACAGAGACCCTGCTGGGAAGAGCACGCAGTGTGGCCTTGAGGCCCACGGGGACCCCACCACCCACTCCGGCCTTTGCTGCGGTCTCTGGCACTTCACCCGGACCTGTGCCTTGATGAAGACCATCTCCCAATTTGGGGTCCGCATCACCAGTCCCTGGGAGGGCTTGGGCCGGCTTTGGGTGCTCGGCAGGGTCCCCTTCTGGGAGCTGCCGTCTGGAGTCAACAGCGTCCTCCCCAGCGCCTCCTGGGCTGCCATGGGTCGCAGGCATGGACTCATCCACCATCTCGTTTCTCAGGGGCATGGGCTCCTCCAGGATGTTGTCAAGCCATTCTCGGACCACCGCATCCAGAGAGGTGTGGGGCAGAGTGCTGGGTGTCACACTGCCGTCCTCCGGGGGCTCCTCGGTGCCTGCCCTGGGACCAGAACTGAGGCTCCCTCCGGCTCCCCCAAGTCCCCTCCCTGGGCCCCCTGGTTTAGGGCTTGGGGACGGCATGTGCCCCACCTTGAGTGTTTCTTCCCCTGGCTCACCAGGAGACCCCCGATCGTCAGCACTTTGGTGGCCACTGCTGACGCTGCTGCTGCTGCTGCTGGAAGGATGCCTCTCAGGGCAGGGCTGCCCCCCGGGGGGAGCAGGGCAGTAGCCACTGCAGGCCCAACAGGCCTCAGTGTGACCATCAGGGGTCCCCGGGACAGGGCACATCCCCATCTTTGAGCTGCACCAGCTGTGCTGAGCTCCTGGCTCCTCTCCCTCAAGCCATCCAACCGGCAGAAGCGAGGGTGGGGAGGGGCTGGGGGTGCTGCCTGTCTCATCCCCCAAGCGTCCAGCCCCTTGTGTGTGGGCAGGTGTGGGTGCTGAGAAGCGCGGCCTGCCCTCAGTGTCCCCTGCCAGCTCTGCAGAGCAGGCCCTGGGGTGATAGGAACCGGAAGCCCAGTCTGAGCCACTCATGGGGCTGATGGCAGCCCTGCTGGCTGCTGCTGGGTCCTGCAGGTCAGGGGAGCCGGGGTAGGTTGAGCTCAGGTTCCCCGAGGGCTGTCTGCTGGTGCTGGGTGACTTGGCAGATGGTGGCACTGGGCCCTCTGGGCAGGTGTTTCCTCTGTTGGGAGGCCTTGGTGCTGCTGGGGCTTCAGGGGAGTCCACAGGGCAGTGGGGGTCCCTGCAATGGGGACACAGCCGGGGCTGGCCTCTCTGGAACACCTGGCAGGGGTCGGGAATGCCAGGCGAGGATGCAGCGCTCCCTGGGCTCTGCTGCCTTCTCCTTCCCAGCCGGGCTGAGGTACAGGCAGAAAGCGGGAAGGAGATTCCCTCCATGTCCCAGGAGCCAGACTGCCCCAGACCCAAGGCCCGTGTCATCACAGGCCCAGCCTCGACCCCGTGGCTCCCAGTGCCTTGTCCGTGCTCCTCTGTCTGTAGGTCCTTGATGTTCAGAGACAAGGGACAGGGGCTGTCACCACGGGCGGCCTTCCTCCGGGAGACCCCAGTCCACACTCCACCCAGGCAGCCCCACTGCTGGCCTTCCCACTTGCCAGACTCACCGCGAGACTTGGCACTGGCCGAAGAGTCAGAAAAGGCCCCTTCTACACCTCGGGTCCTGGGTCCCTGGTAGCCCTGTTGCTCCCAGCAGGGTGGCTGCACTCCCTCCGGGTACTGGGCCCCCCCAGCTTCCCGCTTGGCCCTGCTCGGTGAAGCAGCCTCAGAGGCCAGACATGGGCTGTCACTGCCGTCCGGGGTCCTGAGGCTGCAGGAGTCTGGATCAGAGCCTTCGGGGTGCTCAGCACTGGAGGCCGGGCTTCCGAAGTCCTTGCGGAGTCTCTTCCTGCCCTGGGCCCAACCCGACCTCCTCCCAAGAGCTGGCCTCTCGCCCCAGGGGATGCATAGGGGGTTTCTCCAGATCTCGAAGCTGGGCCGGGGCTGCCGGCTGTCATCAAAGGCTGGCTGGCACCCTGCCTTGCAGAGACCTGCTCGCCCGGCCCCAGACTCCAGGCTGTCCCTGGGGAGGGCCTTCCATCGGCAGCAGTCGGGGTCCACCTCCTTCAAGCCCTGGCCCTCCCCACCAGCCCGCCCCACCCTCTGGGAGCACAGCATGGTGTTCTTGCCCAGGAGGTGGAGACGGACTCTCATCTCCACAGACAGGCTGCCATCCTTGTTCATGCAGACCTCCTTCTTCACGCTGTCAGTGTTCCCCGAGGGGCCGGGTGGGGAAGGCCCCGGCCAGGCACCAGGCAGGGACGCAGGGGCCTGGCTGAGCCCTGGCCTGGCTGACAGCAAGGACTTCGGGGCCCTGCTGCCTGACCTGGCCCTGGAGTGGATCACGCTTGGCCTAGGCTTGGGCCCCCAGGAACCTGGTGCGTGGTGAGGAGGGAGAGAAGAGGAAGAGACGGTGAGCCGCTGAGGAGCACCAGGGTGGACAAGACAGCCCTCAGGAGACCCCGCCACCTCTGCGTCCCATGTTCCCGGTCTCCAGCTGCACAGTAGGGCAGACTGGCCCAAAGTCCTGTCCCCAGAGCTGGGTAGGTTTAGGCAGAGCTGGTTCCTTAGCAGTAGACATGCAGTATCAGTTAATAGGTTTGCTTCTCTCTTTTCTTCCAGCCAGTATTGGGGATTGAATTCAGTGCCTTTGCACTAAGCTACATCCCCAGCTCTTTTTATTTTTATTTTGAGGCTCGCTGAGTTTAAGATGCCCAAGTTTTATTAAAACTCTTCATTCTCCTGCCTCTCCTCCCAGAGTGCTGGGATTGACTGCACACTCGGCTGTAGGGTTGCTTTCGACCATGCGCCGCCACACCGATAAAGCACATGCCCCGTGCCTGGAAAGATCGCTGCTCAGACAGGGAGCCGCAGAGGAGCCACAAGCTCACCGGGTTGGGTGCGGGGCTCGCCTACCCCAGCACAGGAGGCTGACTCCGAACACTGCCACCTGCAGGCCTGCCTGTGCTGATTCCTCACGGTGGATCACCCCCGAAAGCTGCTAAACGGCCTCCAGGAAGGGCCTCAACACACAGCATCCAGTCCTGCCCGCGTCCCAGCCAGAAGAAAGAGAAGACGGGGCCTCTGGGGCTGGAAGACAGTGGGCCTAGGAAACTGGCTTCCTAGGCGCTTTCTCGTTTCATCTCCTGAACTCGACTCAGCCACGACTCACGAAGGCTGCGACCGCCGTGTACACAAAGCCCATGCCCTCTGCCCTTCTTCATAGCAGTGATTTTAGACCCTAGAAATTTTGAGCTCAGCACTCCCTAATTCCGGGTGCCTTTAGACACTGTGCTCTGCTCTCTCATATCCCCGCCAAATGTTCAACCAAATTAAGGTTGATGGCGGTGAGGAGGAGGCAAGAGAGACCCAGAATGACTGGAACCCTGTCCTGAACTGTGTGGGACACCTGCCCGCCCCACGGAACCACCAGCCTGCATACCGCACGGGGAAGCTGTGTGCTGCTCAGCGAGTACAGACAAGCGCAAACCGGCTCACCGCTCTTGGCGCGTGAAGTCAGGGCAGATGCAGCTTCAGTCTCATTTTTCTGGGCGCTGTCCAGTGCCAGGGGTCTGAAGGCCTCCTTCCCAGCACACACCAGCACAGAGGGGCTACGCAGCAGCGCCTGCAGAGGGTCTACCTGGAGGCGGCAGGGTGCAGTCAGGATCCCGGAGAGCTTAGTCTCGCCAGCCCTTCCTGGCTTCTGCCCACCTCTCCCCACGACACCTCCATCACTAGCAGGACACCTCTTTCCTCCACGATCTCTCCAGGTGTGAGCCTGTGCTGCAGCTCACTTTGGATGGAAAAGAGGTCAGAGCCCACACGTCTACCCTGCAGAGCGCCTTCTTCCTGAGGCAGCTGCAGACAGTCCCGGCCCCACGAGGAGGCTGATCACTGCGCCAGTCTTTCCCACTGCGCTCCTCTTTCTGACCAGGCTTTCACTACAACCCGAGCCCCTTCCCTCTGCCTCTGCCCAACAGAATTCAGAGGGCAAAGCCCGGCTCTCCGTCCCTTCCTGCGTTCTACGGTGGTGTCCAGGTCCTGCCATCCACTCGGCCCCAGACTCAGCAGCAGGACACGTCCCTGCTCAGGTCTGAATCAGACCCCAGCTTTTAGCAAAACCTCACGCTGCCTACGTGAAGGTTTGTACTGTGGCCACGCAGCATCATCCTGTAACGAACAGTGCTGGGAGATCTGGTTCCATCTTCGAAGTGCACAATAAGCTCTTTTTTCAGTAACAAGGACATGAAAGAGAGAGCTCTTACATCTTCTCTTCCCCAAAATACGTTTGTTGGGCTCCAGACCTTTCAGCCCAGGTAATTAGAAGCGTGTTTTCAACTTCCAGGTACATTTCTTCCTTGATTCAGATTTCGAATCCATCTCAAAAATACGAACATGCCCTGAGTCTATCAGTGGACAGACATAGCCATGCTTCCAGGGAATCAGACTCCCCAGGGAGGAAAACAGAATTGGGGTCTAAATAACACAGCCACCCCTAAGACACATGTGACCCATGGGGAAAAAGACCACTGTCAAGTGCTCATCCAGGAGAGGACCCAAAAGTTGGCAGTCATGACACAGCTCTCCCCAGGGAGCAATAGATCATCTTTGCAGAAACTCCAAAAGCTCTGAGTAAGTCTAGGTGAAAATGTCCTAATATCTTTATTCTGTTAACTTGTTTTGTGACCGCTTTCCCCTTCACCAAACCTACTAAACTGTAAGCTAACTAGAGACCCGGGGCTGCCCTTCCCTGTCTGTACACTCTACACAGTACCTGCTAGTACATAGCAAATGCTCCGTAATTCAAGAGCACTTCTGCATTATTGATGCTGGCTCCACCACTGGCTAACTATGCAAATATGGGGAAATGACTTAACCTATGTGCCCTGCTCTTCTTTCCTATCTGGAGGGAGTAATAACACCAGCTGCACTAAGAGCACCAGTCTACTTTTCAAGCACCCTTTTTCTGGGTGCTTTCCAGGAATGCACGGTTTACAAAGCTGAAAATCCATTTCTCCATCTCCCTTGCAGCTTAGGGTCTTGATATGAAATAGGCCTCACTAATTGGATGCACTTGCTTACGACAGGGACACGGCAGTGAAGCGAAGGCCATTTTCCTTTTGTTTTTTCACTGTTGCCACAAGCAAAAAAAAAAGTCCAAGGTGCAGAGAAGCATGTGCAGCTGACATGGCAAAAGCCACAACCTTGTTCTACCGGCTTCCACAGCCCAATGGACAGCTGTGTACCTCAGCCTCCCCATGCTAGGCCACAGCTGCCGCCATTCCAGTGGCAGCCACCCAACAAGCCACTTTCTTGACTGTCAGAGGCGTTGCTGTGATGGGTTAACTCAGGGATATTCTGGAAATCTTCCCCAGGAGCCCAGCCTAGGCTCCCCCAGCCTTGCAGTGAATCTTGAAGCATCAAAAACTCTCTTTGCAGAATTCCTTCCTACATAAGCTACTGAGAGAGGACTCTGCTTCCTGTGCTGTGCTACGGCAGACACAATGTGCAAAGTCTGGGCTGAAAGCTGGGTTTGGAGGTGGTGATAAACTAGTGACAGTGGGACACAGGTAGCCCATGGTACCTAGTGACAAAGTAGGTTCTTCAGTGGTCACCTCTAATGGACTTTGGTTCCCCCTGGCTGCCACAAAGGACCATGATAATGTGAATGAGACGCCCAAGGACTAAGTGCTAGGCCAGCTGCTTCTAACCTTAAAAGTGGCAGATGCAACATCTCAATTCCTCATTCAAGGACAGCCAGGGGACTTGGAGCTGCAACATCTACTGCCAAAGGTTCTCTTTTCTCTTGTAGCTAAAACTCAGGTGCAGAAGCTGACTTGGCTGGTGCTGGATTACAGCTGAACGGGGTGTTACCTGGTCCATGAAGCCATAACACAGATGTGGTGAGCTCTTGGTCATCAGGTGGGGGTGAAACGCACTGGTCGGGCTCATGAAGCTTGAACTGAGCTGTGAGCAAGTTGCTGAGCAGGTGGCGTGGCACCTGCTCTGGGCTCACCTGCACCTGCCATGTGGCTGCCCCTACTTAGCACACACCTGTGGCTTCCTGGGGACTTCCCTGGATCAGTTGACCAAAGAACATGGACTCTGGGTCACAGAGGGCCCGATCCAAAGTTGGCCACGGCAGCATTAAGGACCCACTCAGGAGCCATGGAAGGTGGCAGGGAAAGAAAGTCCAGGGCACAGTGTGATTGGGTTGACTGCTCTTATGGAGGTCCTGTAGCTATTTATGGGCAGTGGGTAATGGTTCAATCTGACGATTAGGGACTTGGAAGGGCCAGATCCTTGACAAGAAAACCTGGAGAAGAATCTGTGAAAGGATCCCTCCTGAAGAAAGGCCCAGGTAATGAGAACCTTTGTGTCCTGTGTGAGCGCTCACCAGAAGGGCGCAGTCATGTGAACAACCTGACCTGCTCAGTGGGTGTCAGTCGTGCTCATTCCCCAGCTGCCCCAGGGCAGGCTCAGTCAGCACACAGGGTGGCAATGTTGCACGATCCAACAATGTCAGCTCTGCCTCATTCCTGTGGACACGCCCATTGGGTCTTCTAAGGACCCGATCTGCCAAGAGCCAGGACTAATGCTGAACTCCAGACTTGCATAATACCTGAGGGACTCAGCCAGCCACGTGGTGGGGAGCTTGTGACACTGAACCCTGTATCAAGGAGACAGTCAGCAACTTGTATTCACTGAGACAGACACTTATTTTGATGGAGACTCTGTGCCTTGCCTACCATTCATCCTGTGTCACCACCCATGCACTTACCGAACGCCAGTTTGTCACTGCCACATCCCATGAAGCTCTCTTATGTCCAGAGAACTGATTCTATAGCAGAATGTGTGAGGCAGCATCCTGATGCCCATGGAATTCACTGCGCAGCCGCGTGCCTCATTACCCCAAGACGGCTGTAACTTGGACAACAGTGGAATATTCCCAGGAGAAGCCTCCTGGGAACCGCTGGGAGGCATCTTTCTGGATGTTGAGCTGTCCTCCTACAGGATGTGACCAGTGCTTTCAGTGGGCAACTGATGCCTAGCCCTGCATCTTCAGGAGCTGCGTGCTGGGAGGGAAGGGCCCCAAACAGAACGGCTCCTCTCACTCTGACCCCTAGGACCTAGCTTCGGGCATTTGGTTCCCATCCTGCAATTGTGGGCTCCGCCTGTTGGGAGGCCTCAGGACCCAAGGGAGAATGTCCCCAGGAGACAGTCGCCTGGTCACACAGAGCTCCTCATGCCATGAACCCACAGGCAACAAGAGGGCCCTTGGGAAGTGGAGCTGCTGTTCCACAGGGAACCTGCTGGGGACTCCTGGGGCCGCCACGTGCAGTGCTGTGTTGACTCCACAGAAGCTCCGTCCTTCGGGTTCTGGCTCCACCACTCCACCTTGTACACAGCCATAGTCAGCCACGGCACTGGTGGAAAGCAGGAGGAACCCGGGTTGAATAGCAGGAGAAAATCTCAAACCCCAACAGGTGCCCCGGAGGAGATTTCTGCCAGGTATATACTGCTTTAACCAATTTCCTATTTTTTTTTTCTTGCTCTTGATTTCCTACATAACTTCATATAAGATATTCTGATAGTTGTGGACTCTGATAGATCTTAAGCTAGAGCATGTCAGGTTGGGATTGTGACAGTACATACAAAGTTGGTGTGGCTTTGGGAGAGAGCATGAATATGCTTTCCACTGTAGGAAGGAGAGCTACGTTCTTGGTGGCAGGCATCTTGTACAGCCATGTGTGTCAATGGAAGCTTCAGTGGGATGGTGCAGACAGGAGCCATGTAGCTATAGGATTCAACCATGGGAGGATGGGATGAGTTCAGTCAACTTCTGTCCTCCATTCTGTCTACTTTTGATGAAACTCGTGTTCTGCAGAATCTGGAAAGGCAAAAATGACATCCTAACCCCACTTCTTCCTGCTTCTAGCTGATGCTGTGGTAAGGCCAGCCTGTGGGCCTCAGGAGGCTACAGCAGCAAAGGCATCAGCGGCCGACTCAGCCCTCAGTGATCCCTGGAGTCAAGACACAGCAGTGGCAGCTCCAAGCTCCACACTTGAAGCTTGGCCGCCGCCCTCTCCTTGGGAAGTCCTCTCCAAGTTAGTGTTCATAGTCACTTCCAGCAGAGACAACCTGGTGCATCTGTCCAGACTGGGCTTCGGGTTCCCACTCCAGGGTTCCAGGGGTCTGAAAGCCCTAACACAGCATGCTGCATAAGGGACCTTGTGAGTTTCTGTTTCCGACGCTGAGCCCCAACGGGAATAGGCTGCACCTACTATGAGCACCAAACAGAAACTAGAAATGTAGGTAGCAATTGCCTGTCGGATTAATTGACCTGATGGGATGTCTCTGCCCTCTATACCTGTAATTAGTACCAGGGTAATCGAGAATAACCTCCCATTCCATCTAAGGTGTGTGTGTGTGTGTGTGTGTGTGTGTGTGTGTGTGTGTGTGTGGTGTACTGGGGATTGAACCCAGAGCCTTCTTGCTGAACTACATTCCCAGCCCATGTGTATTTTTGTTTGTTTGTTTGTTTGAAACAGGGTCTTACTATGTAGCTTAGGCTGGTCTTGAACTTACTATGTAGCCCAGGCTAGGCTTGAACTCACAGCAATACTCCTGACTCAGCCTCCAGAGTTCTGGGATTATATCATGTGGCCCATGTTTTATTTTTTATTTTGAGACAGGATCTTGATAAGCTTCATGTAAGGAAGTCCCAGCCACCACCCACCCCCATCCTGCCTTCCTTCCACTGACTGTGTACACCTGCTTCACAGGAAATTGCAGAAGGTCTGACGCCCTGCTGAGGAAGGCCGTCAGGCTCCTGGTGTCTCTGTGGCTGAGAAGCAGTGTCTGGTGGCATCTGGAGTCCCCATTCTTAACCAGTGTTATCCTCCTCAGGGCTGCGGGACCCCTCCTGGAAGAGGACGTGCTGGGCGACTCCTGCCCGCCTTCCATACCCCCAGACTGCACAGCAGAGGGGCTTCTGGCCTGGGGCCGGCCTGGCCCCCTGGGGCTGTTGGAGGGCTTCTTATCAGAGCAGAGGTAGCAGCCACCATCCTGCAGCTGTTCCAGTGCACTGAGGCCGTGCAGGCCCCTAGGCGTGGTGATGGAGCGCACCCGGAAGGACAGAGGCATGCGCTGGGAGAGCTCACCCATCAGGGCGCTGAAGGTCTTGAAGGCCCGCTGGTGGACAGCCAGGCGCACCCCAGCAAACCGGGGGTCCCCTCACTTGAGGAAGGTCACCTTCTTGGCTGGTGTGACCTGGGTGACAGAGGCAGTGTGAGCCACAGAGAACAGGAGACACTCACGGTGGCCGGGGCCCTGGACACCCTCGGGTCACCATTCATGACGCTGAGACCCCGGCAGCTGCAAGGACAACAGAAGAGCGAGGTCAGGGGCAGCTCCCAGTCGCCTTCCCTGCCCCCCCCCCTTTCTGCCACCCCAGATTGGCACCACTCAACTCTGGAGAGGCAGCTTGGATGAAAGGGTGAAGGGGTGGCGTTGGACAGTTATGAGTTCACTCCCCAACCCCACCACTTCCGGGAGGGAGGGCAGTGACATAATCTGCGTTGTCATCTGCAAAACACCCACCGTCCCTCGGCACAGTGGTTCTAAATCATCCAGTGAAGGCGTGCATTAAAAGCACCAGGCACAGAGCGAGAACCAAGTCTATATTCCTCCCCTCCCCCTTGCTATTTCTCTTACACTCTCTGGCCAACCTTGAACTTCTCTGAATACTGCAGTGGTTTCTCTATCAAAGAGGGGGCTGGAGAAAGCGGAGACCCTAAAACACAGGGCAGGAGCAGGGTAGGAGTTAGGCCTGGGCCATCTGCTGAGGGGTCTCATGTGGCCTGGAGGACTCCCACCTCCCAACTTCATCTTTCTCCTTGCCGTCTGGGTGGAGGCAGAAGCGCTGCCCCAAACCCTTCCAAGGAGGCTTGGTCCCAGGTGTCTGTACCCTTGGGAGTGTGTTCCCCAGCACACTAGGCACAGAGACCAGCCTTGGGGGCTCAGGTTCAATCTCCCCGCCATTTGTTCCTGCTCCCCCTGCCCAGTGCTAGACTCCCCTGCCTCCCACGGGACTCCTGCAGAGCCATCCAGGTAGCTGTGCTGTCCCGGCCTCCACACTGCTCTGCCCCTGCAGGACCCCTGCCGGCTTCCACCTGGACACTTCCTGTGCCCTAAAACCTTCACATGGCTCTGGGAGTCTGCAGAGGAAGCCCGGCCCTTCACACACAGTGAAGGGCTCCTCCTGCTTGTCCCTACGCCTCCTCCACCAGCGTCACCTCCTTTCCCATTGCCTGGCTCCGTGGCCGTCCTGTGCAGTGGCCCATCCTGGCCCTGCTGGTGGGGCCACACCCGGCCCCCTATGCCTGGGTCGCCCCATGTTCAGTGCAGCGCCGCCATCAGGCTGTGTCCTTTTTGGTCTCCAGCTGCCAAGGCCGGGGAGGCAGCGCCCGTCCTGTCCTCCCAGGGATCCCAGCCTGGAGGAGAGCGGAACAAACGCACACATCTCACAGGGGACCCTATCAGACCCGGAAGCTGGCCCTGAGCAGCTCCAGCCAGGCGAGGAGCCCTCCCGCTGCTGGGGGTCAGAGCCACACAGACGCCCCTGTCGTGCACCGCTGCTGCCCGCTCACTTAGCCGGCCACATTCCCCTTCTTACCGCTCCTCTCCTGTGGCCCCATTCACACAAAAGGAGCTCCTCTCATTTCCAAACTGTGGTGCACAGAAAGGGCTTGTAATCCTCTCATCTCTGCCCTGCTTTATAATCGGCTCTGCGCACCTCCTCCTCCTGACTAATCCCCAGAAGCTGCCCTCATTGGGCCCCCAGCTCTTCCCACTTGGCTCCTTTACATTTGTGAGTATGGGTCCTTCCTGGGAGCACAGGAACCCAGAGAGAGGGAGCACCATGCTGTCCCCAGCGCCACCGTGTCCCCGGTGTCACTGTGGACGTACCGAACATGTGTCCCCCACACAGGACCTGATTCATGCAGAGTAAGATGGCAAGTCCTGGAAGACTTCTTGCAGGAGGTGGCGTGGAGATGCCAGAGCTGAGGCTAAAGGACAACCGAAGGGTTGGCAGGCCAGAGAAGAAGGAAGTCAGGACAACCTGCCACCCCTGCCTGGCTGTGGTGGTGGGTGCTGGCAGAAGAGGTGAGGATATGCAGGGATGCGTGCTCCATGGATGAGGGTGGAGAAGGGCTGCACTAGGGCCGGGACCCTTGCCACCTGCATCCGGGTATTCAGAGGGAGACATGGACTCTTCAGTCCCTTGAGCCAACAGCTGGAAGTGAGCTGGGGTGTCGCCTCCATCATATGAGGGAGGCTGGGCCAACCAAGGAGCCCCGGCCTTCCACCATGCAGAAGCTTGAGGGAGGCCCCTGCCAGGTGCCCTCAGTCTGCCCTGTGGGCCACAGGGCACTGCTGCCCCCAGTGTCCCTCCTTCAGAGGGAGCTGCGGGAGCCTTGAGCCCTACCTGGCCAGGAGGGGACCACCGCTGGGCTCCCCTTCCCCACCTCACGAAGGCAGTCGTGCTGCTCCCGTCTGGAGAATGGTGGCCAGTGATCTTGGCAAGCGTAGAGACTGGGGATGCCCACAGGGTTGGAGGGGTTCCCCTGCCCCAGGGCCCACAGCCAGCCAGGGCCGAGTGGGCTGTGGGAAACGCATGGGGCAGGGCCGGGAGGGATGGAAGGGGGGGCAGAAGGAGTTCAAGGAGAGGGGCCCACTCCGGGATCTCAGGAGGAAGTGGGAAAGAGCTGCCTTCCAGCTGTGGGCAGCGGGGACGGCAGGCAGAGAAAGACAGAGAAGGGGTGAAAGGAGAAAAAATAGAAGCCACAGGAAATACTCAGAAAGGTGACAGCCAGGGTGGCCGGTGGCATTGGGCAGGGCCGGCCGGGAGGAACCAGCTTGGTGGCAGCTGTCCTGGAAGTGGGTGGATTCAGGAAGAGTAAGCAGGGTGGGAGGAAAGTCTGCAGGTGAGGGACAGTGACACCGAGGGCAGGCCTGAGCGGCTCGGAGGATGGAAGTGAGACGCTCGTGTTGCAGCAAGCAGCTGAACGCACAGTGGCCCGAACAGGCTCTGTCCCCTGAGGAGCGGGCAGGAGTTGCGGCCTCCAGAGAGAACGCGAGCTGTTGCCTTCCTCCCTAGGGTTCTCGCTGCCACCAGCCTCATGCAGCCCTTCCAACACCACCCCCTGGTGACTCCAACTGGCCATGGTGGTCAGGAGCGCCACTGTTTTAGGAACTCGTAGGAAAGGAATAAAAGGGAGTGAGGAACTAAGACAAAGGCGAGCTGTTAATTGCAAAATGCACCCCAGTTTTGGAGAAAGGAGAATGTGTGTGAAATGATAGTCAGTGAAATGCAGGCAGGCAGAGAGGCAAGCGCCAGCCGTACCCGTGTCAGTGACGAGAGTGTGAGATGCTGCAGCCACTGAGAGCAGCAGTATGGCGGGTCCAGAAGGAATTCACCAAGGAGCCACCCTAGCGCCCAGGAGTCTACTTCTGGGCACACCCAAGGTTGAGAGCAGGGACAAAAGGCAGTGCACATTTGTGCACCAATGTTCACGGCAATATCACACACAATCGCCAAAAGCTAGAAGCAACCCAGTGTCCACTGGTGGGTGGACAGATTAGCAGACTGGGATCTATCCAGACCATGGAATATTACTGCTGTAAAAAAAGGAAGGTCATTCTGGCATGTACTACATGGATGAACCTCGAGGACATCATACTGAGTGAAACATGCCAGTTGCAAAAGCACAAGTGTGATCCTAAGACGCTGGGAGAACAGATTCAGAGGCAGAAAGTAGGATGGGGTTCCGGGAGTGGAGGGGATGGGAAATGAGGAATTCATGTTTAATGGGGACAGCATTTCTGTCTGAAAAGATGAGAAGGCACTGGAGGTGGATGGAGGTGACGGACAATGGGCATGCACTTACTGCCAGTGAACTGTACACTTAAAAATGGTTAAAATGGTAAATGTTATATTACGTGCATTTTACAACAAAAGAACCATAAAATATAATCATAAAAACTTTAAAAGGAGGGCCTGCCATGAACTGCCCTTTACCAAAGGTGCCTGGGGCAGGAGGGCTTCCTGCAGCCCATGCCAAGCTGACCCTGAAGGGCTGCACTCCTCAGGCCCTGGGGGGCGGGGTGCAGAACCAAGGCACACCTGATTGACAGGCAGAAGCAGCCTATCGTCAAACACGACCACCTGCTGGGTGAGATTGCTTCTGCTCCACAGAACTCAGCACTCAGGGAAGAACACAGAACCACCCTGTCCTCACCCTTTGGCACACGAGTGGGCAGCTAGATCTGGAGGGTGCCAGGCTCTGGGGCCCACCCTTCCCTGCCAGCACCTACCCCCTGGCTTGGGCTCACTCCCGGACTTCTCCATCCCCTGTTACTTACTGTGACTGGAAAACAGAGATGCTGTGCTGCATAAAGGCTGCCAGGGTTGTACCAGGCACTTGTGAGAGAAGCTTGCATGGGTGGCTGTGCAACAAACGATAACCGTGAGCCTGGGAGACTGCCCGAGAAACTGCCACAGGCGTTAGTTCTTCCCACGTCCAGGGAATACCTCGCTTCCTTTCACAATCATGGTGAAAACCATGGACACGGACAACCCCTCTCCACGGCTATCCACACAAGGTACTGTGTACAGTTTCTGGGACTGGGCCTGCAAGTGCACCCACAGAGGCCCCCAGGGAGCCAGGGAGCCCAGGCTGAGACCTACTCCCCGGAGAGGTCTTAACACTTGTTCTGGGGTGACCATGGGCCTGATGGTGTCAGTACATGTGCTATTCTCCTTTATGCTGCAACGTAAGTCCTAATAAAGTCTAGGATGGTACCTTTTGTCTATTTGTGATTTCTGTCTCAAGTAGAGCAGGCTGAGTTGGTTACACTAAAGCTGGTGACACCCAAGTTGCCTGTCATCAAAAGTGGCTGGCAGCTGGGACTGGTAACACTGAGAGTGGTAGCAAGCAGAGAACAACAGAGAGCAGGGGAGAATTGCCAGAGGCTTCCATCCCTGGTGTCCAGAACTGTTCTCAAGCCATGCTGGTAGTTGTGGCTCTGAGCTGTGAGGAGAGCTGCTAACGCTAAGAGATGATAGCTGCTGGCATTCAAAGCGCAGGGCTGCTAACACTAACATGGATACACTGTGCCTGTCCATGATTTCCATCTGAACTGAGCAAAGAACCCTCAACCAATTGGTAACAAATCCAGTGGTTGGAAACATGGTCCCATCCTAGGGAGGGGAGCTTCCTGACATGATGGTCCCAGCTGAGCCTTGCAAGGCTGTAGAAGGGACAAGGCTGTCTGCAGGGTGTTCTCCAGCCTGCAGGATGAGGAAAAGAAGACGTGAGCCACAGAGAAAAGGAAACACCCAGGCCAAAGCATCACCCAGTCAGAACCCAGCAAGTGGCCAACGTGCCACACAACAAGGCTAGAAGAGACAGCCTTCTTCACTAAGAGAAAATCTAAAACATGCAAGAAAGGGCCATGTCCCTGGGACCGCAAAACCCCTTCAGCGTGAAATGGTGGAAATTGTGTATGTTGTAAAACTGGCCACCACGGGTCCTGGAGACCTAGGTCAGCTCAGTAATTGCAGGGCCACACTCCCATCACACACACACCAGCCAGTCGGCCAGCGGCCCCACGGGACCCAAGGGGGCTGCAGGGACGTCTGTGTGTCTGTTCCCTTGACTGGATGATGGTGTCATGGGTGCTTGTTCATAAGACCAAATTCATCAGGTTGCACATATTAACTATGTGCAG